CTTTAGCCTGACTTTCTTTTACCAAATCAATTTTATTTTGTAGAATCAAAATATGCTTCAGTTTCATGATCTCTATAGCAGCCAGGTGTTCAGACCTCTGAGGCTGAGGACAAGATTCATTACCAGCTATCAACAGAAGAGCTGCATCCATCACAGCTGCACCATTCAGCATAGTAGCCATCAAAATATCATGGCCAGGACAGTCAACAAAGGAAACATGTCTGACTAATTTGAAGTTCCCTTTGGTCCCTGCAATGTCTGTAGGAAACTCATCAGGTGTACTGCTCCCACAAGATCTATAACATTCTGGCCGAGGGCAACTTGGGTCATCAAGTTTATAAATCTTAGCATTAGCATATCCAAGCTTGATTGTAATATTTCTTTCTAGTTCATTTTTGAACCTGACGGTGTGAACTCCAGAAATAGCTTTGACAACTGTGAATTTCCCATGAGCTACATGACCAATTGTACCTATATTAATTGTGGCTTGCCTGCTGATAACTTCGTGTGAAAGTGGCGTCAACTTGGTAACATCCAACGTGGTGAGATCCTGACGTGAAAGATGCGGCTGCCCCAGAGTCACTCCAGCTTCTCCGCCCGCCATGTTGCCAGAAGAGGAGCCACACGTGAGTTCTAAGGACAGAGGCACTGGAGGCAAAGAAGAGACCAGTGCCTGTTTGCAGGCAGCGAGAGCCTCCGAAACTCCAGCACGAACACTCACCGGTCGGTGGAGGCCCTTACCAGGGGCCACCTTATTCGCGAGCAGATCCCGGCGGGTCATCCGGGAGCTGGTCATCTGGGAGCTGGCCATCCGCACCGACTTCCATGCCGGGACACAGTGGCCTAGCAGCCCCGCCTTTTGCATGGCTCAGACCAGCAAGTCTGGGTTCCACTCCTTCCAGCGGAGGTGACAAAGATTAGGGCGAGGGGGCAGGACGAAGGGCGGGCTGCTTCCCGGCCCGCCCCCTCCCCGCCCTCGACCACCTGGGAGTCCTCTGTGGCGGTGCTCGCCTCCCTCCGCCGCCGCGCCCAGCGGCCAGCTACCTTCCGCCCGACTGCGGCTTGCCTTCCCGGGCAGGCGGGTGTTCAAAGCGCTCTCTGTTCAAGTTTTCCGTAGGGCTCGCCCCTCCCCTGGCCCCCGCAGGAACGCGCAGACTTTGGCTGCTGCCTTTTTGCATCTGCTTGCCCACGTTTTCTTCTGGGGGAAGTGGGGGTTTTGAGTTGGTTGCTTTTGCTTCTTCAGAATTTCTTCTCCAAGAAAGTCTGGGTACATGTACGTGACAGCCCACAGGAGGGCAAATGTTTTGAGACTGCCCATGGAGGTGAGGCCTGTGGTCCTCATAGAGTCCACCAGGTGAGGCTGGAGGAGCCTGGGAGAGATGTGATAGGGAGTAGCCGCACCAGGCCTGGCACTGCCCTTCACTCTGCCCAAGGTCTCCTCCATCTTCACGGGCCCTGGAGGGCAGACTATGGTCATTGACCAAACAGTATCTCACATCCCTCTCCAAAGGGACTTTCTCCTTTACAGGGGCTAAGTGCTAGAGAGGAGGCTGCAGAGTCCCTGGAGCAGTGGTGGAAATGCTGAGAACTGGGGGCACTCAAGTCTAACCACTATGTCCCCAGGTCTTACCCTCCATCCTAGTTCAATAAATATTTGTTGAATGTAAAATCTCTTTATGAACTGTAAGCTATAAGCACATAGTAGTTACTGCCACCATGTAGTGATTATTATTGCTGCCCTGGGTCAGACTCTTCATCTGTAAATTACTGAGGGTATGGAGTAGATGATGTATGGAGTAGATGATGAATAAAGTCCTTGCCAGCTATAAATTCTGTGTCCAAGACTTCAGCCTCCACTTCTGCCAAGTGGGCTCAAATTATCTCACTCCTGGGTTTCTGGGAGAACGAATAAATCTGGATGGCTTATGGTATACTGTAGAAAGGCCCCAACGGACCCAGATGCAAGCATCTGAATTGGTTTAACCCACTGGCTTCCAAAGGCCAGACTGAGAAGCAGTGCTGGTCCATGGCAATGTTTACACTAGTGTAAGGCAAAATGAGAAAAGGAAACACATTACAGTGAGTTTCATGATGCTAAGTTTATTTAACAGTCCTTTATTGTGGAGTATACGTTTGCTCGTTTTTTGTGTGTGTGTGTTAGTGTTTTCTTTCAGAAAAGATGATGAAAGCAGATGGGTAGGTTTAGAGATGTGTTGTTGGTGAAATCACCAGTTTTGCAGCCTTATTTCCCTATAATTACCAGGGAAAAGTCCTGGTTTGTAAAATCCAGTTCTAGGGATGACTTTTTAATAGAATTCATGTTTGCTCAAGATTCATTTAGTTTGCTCAAGATTCATTTAGTGTATCTGTAGGTCAGCGGAGCAGCTGAAAAAGGATTTTGACATTCAGCCGGGCATGGTGGTTCACGCCTGTAATCCCAGCACTTTGGGGGGCCAAGGCAGGCAGATCACGAGGTCAGGAGATCAAGTCCATCCTGGCTAATACGGTGAAATGCTGTCTTTACTAAAAATACAAAAAATTAGCCGGGCATGGTGGCACGCGCCTGTAGTCCCAGCTACTCGGGAGACTGAGGCAGGAGAATGACAAGAACCTGGGCAGCGGAGCTTGCAGTGAGCTGAGGTCACGCCACTGCACTCCAGCCTGAGTGACAGATGGAAACTCTGTCTCCAAAAAAAAAAAAAAAAAAAAAAAAAAAGGATTTTGACATTCAAAAGAGGATGTATGGTGAGCAAGTAATAGAACAGGCCTGCACTGGATTTATCGTATTTTCCTCAGCCAAGAAGTTACAACCGCAGTACTCTGCTTTGGTACTCAGCATATCCCGATGAGA